TCTTTGGGGGTTTTGGCGCAATTAATTTTAGAAAATCAGTCAGCACCAGCTGTAGCCTCCATGGGAGCCTGAACTTTGAAAAATCCTGTTTAAGTCCCTGATGGTGGCAGGAAAACGAAACTTTCACCGCCAGTAGAACTCGCTCCACTCTATCCAGTGCAGCCAACCGCATGTTTTGGTCTTTGGGGGTTTTGGCGCAATTAACTTTAGAAAATCAGTCAGCACCCGCTGTAGCCTCCATGGGAGCCCGAACTTTGAAAAATCCTGTTTAAATCCCTGATGGTGGCAGGAAAACGAAACTTTCACCGCCAGTAGAACTCGCTCCACTCTATCCAGTGCAGCCAACCGCATGGTTTGGTCTTTGGGGGTTTTGGCGCAATTCGTTTTAGAAAATCAGTCAGCACCAGCTGCTGCCGTCCCGAGAGCCCGAACTTTGAAAAATCCTCGCCAACTCCCTGATGATGGCAGAAAACCGAAACTTGCCCCCCTAATAAAACTGGCTGCGCCCCATCCAGTGCGCCCAACCGCGCATTGCTGTCGTTCCCGGTTCAGCTGCAATCTGATTTTTCCAGGCTCCGAACTCTACCACATCTACGAGGTGCACCTGGTGAGCGAGCACATCTGGTGCGACGACTATCTAGTGCGCTCCTTCTACCTGAAGAACGTCAAAACGGGCGAAACGCGGACAGTCACCCAGTTCCATTTCCTCTCCTGGCCGGAGGCCGGCGTGCCTGCATCCACCAAGGCCCTGCTGGAGTTCAGGTACGTTTCGAATTCGCCCCGCCATCTTCAGGGTTTGCCAAATTCCCACCCCAAACCGCGCCCATCGACTGTCCAAAGTGGGAGGAGCGCGCGGGTGGAATGGCGCCCCAATCGGAGCAGGGCTTCGCCCCTTGGTGCCCCCTGGAAAAATCCCTGGATAATCGGATTTTTTGGCGATTTCCAGACGAAAAGTGAACAAATCGTATCGGGGCCGGTCCTGTCCGATTGTCGTCCATTGCAGCGACGGCGCAGGCCGCACCGGCACTTACTGTCTGATCGACATGGTTCTGAGCCGAATGGCGAAGGGGGCGAAGGAGATTGACATTGCGGCCACGCTGGAGCATCTGAGGGATCAGCGGCCCCGCATGGTAAGTTCTGAGCCGACGGCTCAGAAGCCCCCAACAGTAAACCGAGCGGAAAATCGCGCAGGTGGCCACCAAGCAGCAGTTCGAGTTCGTGCTTACCGCCGTGGCGGAAGAGGTGCACGCCATCCTGAAGGCGCTGCCCCCCCAACCATCCCCCCTGCCCCAGGCGACGCCGGAGAAACCCGAAAAATAACCTCAATAGATCGCAGACCTGCATATTGAGGAAATTCTCGATTTGTTGGCGCATTCGCCAATTGGTCGAGGATTTCGCACGACACTGGCACCAGTCCACGGCTTTCTACGATCACTGATTACGCATGCGCATCCAAGGGCCGTTCTGAGCGCGACCTATTTTCGCCCAATTTCAGTCCCTTTTACCTTCTGATCCACATATCTAGTAGACTCTATCAGGATTCGCCACAATCGGCAAAAACTATCCGGATATTTTCCTTAAACCGAAAAAAAAACCCACAGAAGATTGCTTTATCTAGATCTAGAATCCATGTTTCCTCTATATTCTATATAGATATATATATATATATAAAAATATATGTATATTGAATGTTAAAAAATCATCCACTCGAACCGAAAAAACCGGTCGTATTTTTAAGCATCTTCTTAAAAATACGACAAGTTTCCGTGTGGCGTGTCTTTAATCATCCAGCCTCTTAAAAACACGTCACACCAACCCACCCATTCTTCCCCCGTTCTTCTGTTCTCCCCTGACGTCACTAGACTGATTTTCATATTTCCCGGGCTCTCCAACTGATTGGAATGGACGGCAACGTCGAAAGCCGGCAAGCGTTTCCAGACCTGCACCGTTGCCGGCTTGTCGACCGTTTTCCCGTGACGACTTTAGTACTTAAGCGATGGGCGCTTGAGGTTTAATTAATTAATGAATTAATTGATTAACTACTATATGGGCGGTATAATTACAGATGTTTTAAACTATAGAAAATCTATTAACTATTATGATAATCAAGTATATTTTGTCAAATTACCTAATAAGTATGATGTTAATGTTATGAAAACTGCATGAGCTGATCATCAGTGTACTGATTCTATCTGAAATTAGATTAGTGTAATGTATTTCTGTGTACGTATACAGCACATGAGTTGTTGTTATTTATGGCTTTTTTCCTTGTCCTCAACCCCCCCCCCTCCACACGTCCAGTTGACAGTGACGTTTCCCATGCCAGCTGTCAAAATTTGACGTGTCCAGCTGCAGTCGTTTGGAAATTGGGCGCGCTTCACTGGCATCAGTGCCGTTTGCATATTTCAAAAATAAAAAAAAAATGTTTCCAAGAGTGTCACTTGGATGAAACTTTTGGAGAATGGACCTTGACGTTCAAACTGCAGACTGTCAAAATTTGACGTTTCTACCTGTGGTGGTTTGGAAGTTGGGCGCGCATCACTGTCGAGTGCGCAATTCGCTTTTCTCATTCGTTATCCAGACCGCAAATGAAAAAAAAGAAGTTTTACATAGATTCGTTTTTTTTTGGGTAATTGACTTTGACGTTTCGGCAACAATCTGCCAAAATTTGACGTCTGCAACTGATGTAGTTTCGAAGTTGGAACATTTTTAATTAATGTAAGTTGACGTTTCGGCCACAAACTGTCAAAATTGCACATCTTCAGCCGGTTTAGTTTCGAAGTTGGGAGGTATTCATTGTGAAGTGTACCGTTCGCTTTTCTTCTACATTTTACAGTTTAGAAATTGCAAAAAACTCTTTCGAAAAAGTTCACATAGTTGAGTCTCCTTAATTAATTGACGTTGACGTCTTAGTTACAATCTGCCAAAATTTGACGTCTGCGTTTCGAATGTTTCCAGAAGTGTCACAGGGATGAAACTCTTGGGGAATGGACCTTGACGTTCAAACTGCAGACTGTCAAAATTTGACGTCTCTACCTGTGGTGGTTTGGAAGTTGGGCGCGCATCACTGTCGAGTGCGCAATTCGCTTTTCTCATTCGTGATCCAGACCGCAAATAATAAAAAAGAAGTTTTACATCGATTCGTTTTTTTGGGTAATTGACTTTGACGTTTCGGCTACAATCTGTCAAAATTTGACGTCTGCAACTGATGTAGTTTCGAATTTGGAAGCGATTCATTGGCAAGTGCCCCGATCGCTTATTTCCATGTGATCCAGTTAGGAATTTCTTTTAATGTTTTCCGAAGCTTTACAGGAATG